GATGTTATTGAGAGATGCCTAGAGATTTCATAAAGCATCATTACTTCTGGATCTATTTGTGAGGATGTTTCTGGAGAGGATCAGATTGTGGGTCAGCATCTGGGTGGGGCAAGACACCATCGAGTTTGCTGCAAGAACACAGGAAATGGAAAGGGAAAGAGGAGGAACTCAGACTGATTCCCTCAGTGGTACACTTTCTTCTATCAACCTTGGACACCAGAATCCAAGTTTTTAGACCTCTGGACTTTGGGATTTTGTGCCAGGAACCCTCTGGAGGTCTGTGGCCTGTGGTCCTGGACTGTGACACCGCTGCTGCTTCCTCAGGTTTGAAGGCTTCCACCAACCAAGGCTGAGCCACGCGTTCTTGGACTGAACCCTCTCTGGCTTTCTCACATGCAGATGGCCTTCACGGAACATTCCAAGCCCCGTTACGGTGTGTGCTGTTTCTCAGGAAAACCCTGAGTAATAAAATCTATTTTCTTTGAATATTTCTAAGTGTCAATGTTCCCATCTGAGAACTGGAGTTTCTTGGAATAGCTGAGGTAATGCGTGCTTAAACCCTAATGTTCAGAGCTCACCTTTTTAAAACAAAAGGAATATTTTTTGAATGAGAAGCAGTCAGAATACTTAAGTGGAAGTTATCTTTCTTACTACTAATAAACCTTAGGGAAGAAAAGTACAGGTAAAAACAATAATAAAAATATAAATTTGTTTTGTGAGCCTAAAATGAGGTCATTGCTGATCTCCACTCCGTAAGTCCCGTTTTCAAATAAAAATAAGTAAATCTTTAAAAAAAAAAAAAAGCTTACTGATAAAAGTCTAAAGTATTTTTTAAGTAATTTGCAAACAACATCTCATTGAGGATTGGACTAGAGCTAAACTGAGCAGCCTCTATTTTGGTACAGATGTGAGGCAGTAATATATCATTTTTGTAGATTCCAGCAAAAAGAGAGCTCCATTATGAACTCATCTCAGTTACTGAAGATGGCAAAAACTGTAGCTAAACAAGGATTCAATTCTTTGAATTGTTCAAACACAGAAAATTCAACTGTTGGTTTCCAGCCACATCAGTGCCACTTCTGAGCATGACATAGCAAATCATGATGACAGCCTGGTCATGCCTGTTAGAGTTACTGCACAGCATCCATCTGCTAATGTTATTAAAGGAATAGAATATCTTTTGTTTTCAATTTATACATGGTATACTGCTGTTCAGTTGCCCCACCAAAGTGTTATATGATGTCAGCCCCTATTATCCAATAATCTGTACCACCCCAATTTGCTTCAATCAAGAACTAGGAGTTAGGAAGGAAACTTAAAATGCAGATGCCAACAAAACTTAAAATTAAAATGCAGATGCCAAAACAAGGTTTTTCTCAACAGAAAAACAAACTATCATTTCTTTCTTCATTTTCTTTAATATTAGGAGGGTTTTGAAGGAACAGAACATTTCAAAATGCTTCCTTGTAAATTTATAAGATTTCTTTTTTCCCCTAAGGCAAGTTATTTCTCACCGGAGGGACTCTTTCTCATTTATGCATTAAGAAATGGAATTAAGTTTGTGGTAAGAGATTGGGTAACCGTACCCCATTTACAAACCCATAATGACTGTTATGTAAACTGTTTATAAGAACTATTGAGAATATACTACACTTTTCTTTTTCAAATATCAGAAGTTTACCCATGTAGCTTATTGGAAATGGGAATGTATTTTTGTTTTCACTATTTGGTAAATTGAACAAACTTAATAATTTTATTAACAATATAAGCATATATCTAGGTATCTCATAGCATGTCTCAACATAAGCAACATTGGAAAATATAATCTATTTCAGCTAGACATTTTTCTTGAAGATATTTGTGGATTCACATGCAGTTGTAAGAACTAACGCAGAGATCCTTGTACATTTTAATCCTCCATCGGAAACATTCAGTCTAATCACAGCAAAATGTCACAACTCAAGTATTGACACTGATGCAGTCCACCTGTCTTACCCAGAATCTGTCAGAGTCATCCACGGATATGCATGTATGGTTAAGTTCTGTCTATGTGGGAGAGGGGGATGTAGGTAAGTTCTGCACAGTTTTTTAAAATTTACATATGCTAATACATGAAGAACTCCAACAGCACAATAATTTCTTTTGATGTTTTCTCTTGTTTTCAATTATTTATTTAAAAGCAGAGCAACAGAGAAAACCTATTGGAAAGCCTACTTACAAGGCAGAGCAGCAGAAAAAGAGACATAGTCTCTCTCCCATTTTTTATCTCCTAGTTTAGTGTTTGAATGCCCTCAGAATCCAGGGCTAAACAAAGTCAATTCAAGCAGCCAGAAAGTTCATTTTGGCCCTCGATGTAGTTGGCACAGTATTGGAACTTTAGACATCATTTGCTGCCTTGTAGGTGTATTGCAGAAAGCTGATTAGAGCCACAAGTAGAGGCAGGATTAGCTCCAGGCACCCCAATACAGGATGTGGGTGACTTAACTCTGAGCTACAGCATCTGCCTCTGAAGCTGTGTTATAATTGTTCCTTTAAAAATTATCGTTACAAAATTCTAAGATTTGATCCATCTAGGTGTTGATATCAGTTGATTGCTTTCTCTCATCTGAACTATAATATTGTGGCTTCTTGATATGACATGTAATGAGACACCTACAAGGATGCCCAGTGACTGGCTGGGGCAAAGTGCCATCCTGAGGAAGAGAGGCTGTAAACATGACTTCCATGGCAAATAGAAATTGAAATGAATTATCATTTATCCAACCTTACAAGTTATTTTTAAGAATGTGCTAAACACACACAGAATGAGAATGATCATTATGAAAAAAAATTGAAGTCAGATAATCTGCCTGCTAAAATACAAAGAAAGTGAAAAGCAAACAATAGGAATGCTTGGGGGAAAAGAGGAAGGCAGGACCAAGTCATTACTTATCAATAATAGCCGTGACTATAAATGTCCTAAATTCACCATCTTAAATATATAGGCTGGTGAATGGGTTAGAAAATAAGATTCATTTATTCACTGTCTACAAGAAACGTACCTTATCAATGATAAACAGAGAGTGGAAATGAAAGCATGGAAAAAGATACCCCAAACTAACAAAAATCAAATCCAAAGGGAAGAAAAAAAAAAAAGAAGTAGCCTAGCCATTCAAAATCAGACAAAATTGACTTTAGTACAATAACTATAAGAAACAATAAAGGACATTATTTAGTAATTAGTAATTGAAGCATCAATTTAATCGGAAGAAGTGAATGTAGGAAATATGTATGCACCCAACATCAGGTCACCTGGTTGTTTAAAACGAACGTTAATGAATCTAAGGGAGACATTGACTCCAATACAATAATGATAAGAGACGTCAACACCCCACATTCATGAATTGACAGATCAGGTGGACAGAAAATTAAAAATAGCAAACATGAGTCAGAGCTAATCTACTTGTGGATCACCACCCAACATTTCACACATAGTAGCATAATCCTTATTCTTATCGTCAGTACGCTAGACCACATGCTTTGGCATACAGCATGTCTTGACAAAGTGCTAATAATGGAAATCATGCCATTTTTCTTATGTGGTATAGTATAATGAAGCTGCAAGCTAACAACTTAAGAAACTAGAAAACAAACAAATGGAGACGGAATAGAACTCTGTTATATGAACAGGGGGTTATAGATGTCAACAAAAGAGAAATTTTAAAATTCTGGAAATGAATGAAGATGATAGTACAAAATACAAACTTACGGGACATAGCAAAAACAGTGTTACAGGCAATTTAATAATAATTACTGCCCACATGAAGAAATTTGAAAGACACTGTTCAAATTATATGTAGAGTAATTCAATTCAAGGCTATATAAAAAAGAAGAAATTAAACTCCAAGTTAATAGAAGGAAAGAAATCATTAAAATTATAGAAGAAATAAAACTGAAATGAAAAACAAGAGACCAGTGAAATTTCAAACTGATTTTTTGAAAAAAAAAAAAAATGAGGCCCGGTGTGTTAGCCTACTGGCTAAAGTCCTCATCCTGCATGACCCAGGATCCCAAATGGACTCTGGTTCATGTCCTGGATGCTGCACTTCCCATCCAGCTCCCTGCATGTGGCCTGTGAAAGCAGTTAAGGCCCGCCCAAAGCCTTGGGACGCTGTGCCTGCATAGCAGACTAGGAGGAGGCTCCTGGCTCCTGGGTTCAGAATGGCTCAGCTCTGATTGTTGTAGCCACCTGTGGAGTGAACCAGAGAATGGAGGATCTTTCTCTATGTATCTCTTTCTCTCAGTATATCTGCCTTTCAATAAAAACAGATGAATCTTTAAAAAATAAAACAGAAAAAATTGATATGTTATTGTCTTAATTAGTAAAAAAAAAAGGGGGTGGGGGGGGTGAAGAGGGAGAACTTCCCAGTCAGTAAACTGAGAGATGAAAAAGGAGAAGGAACAATGGATCTCACAAAAACAAAGGAAATAAAAGGTGTATTACAAGCAGCTACCTGTCAACAAATTGCAAAATCTAGAACAAACGGATATATTTCTGAATTTAAAAAAATCTACCAAAATTGAATTGTGCAGATGTGAAAAACCTAAATAGACCAAAACCCAATACAATTTATTGCTAGCTGTTTTAGTAGTAAAGATCCCTCCCAACAAAGATGGCTTTACTGCTGAATTCTATCAAACTTTTTAGAAAGAACTAATTCCAATACTTCTGAAATTATTTTTAAAAATAGTTAAAAGGGAAGCAACATCCGCAAATTACTAATACAAGTCCAGTATTACCTTAACTTCAAAACTGGAAAAAGATGCAACAATATCATGGATGCACATACATGCAAAAATACTCAACAAAATACTAGCTAATGTAATTTAAAAAATGCTTCAGAAAAATCATTGACCAGGACCAAGTGAGATTTATTCCTTATACGTGGGCAAGAGTCAACATGCATGAATGAATAAATGTGATACATCACATTAATAAATTAAAGAATTCAAATCCTGGCGCTGGATGAAAATCACCCTGGCTTTGGCCATAGCCATGGATGAGATTCAGCACCTAGAGCCACCAGGAGCTTCAGCTCATCTCCCACTGGACAAGCAGGAGCAAAAAGAAAACCAAAGAGTCTTCCAGCCACTGCATGGGGGCTGGAAAGCCCTGGGACAAGTAGCGTCCCATGCCTGGATCGCACGTGGCCTCAACCATGCGCACGCCCGGAGCCAGTATCGGGCGGCCAGTGCGCCTTTTGGCGGTAGGCTCTGTCTGCTGGCTGCCCGGCCAGGGAGCTCTGGGATTTGGTTTCTATGATTGCTGCTTAGAAAGCTCCATGATGAACCTTCAGGGCTTTGGGTACATGAATCAACCCTAAAGATTCCCAATGATGTAAATCTCCCCTGATGGACCTCTACCTAATTTGGTCTCAACCCATGTGTTTTTAAAATCGTATAACCAAATATAGTTTCAAAACCTTTTGCTACTCAGAAATTGGGCGGGAGAGCAAAGAAACCTTCCATCTCCTGTGAACGCGTGAGGAAGCCGTGTAGTGTAACCTCTCAGGCACATAACAGGTAACTTGTAGACAACAGATGCAAGACAACATTAGACAACAGTAAAAGATATATAGGGGGAATCAAGAGCGACCCTGACAACCTTTTAACAGGAGGTCATGTGCACAGAGCAGTGGGGGACCACAGAGTGGAGCAGATGGACAGGAGGAGGCTTGTAACCCAAACCTGGAGTCTTCCGGATCCCCACCAAGGACTATCAGTACGGGTGCCAAGGTCCACATCTCAACTGCCCAAGAGACCACAGGGGACTGGAATGCCTTCGGAGGCTGAGAACTCAGAGGATTAAGTACTCCTCATCAAGGTATGGAAGATTTCTCTGCACACCCTTCCTAACACTGTTTCGCACCTCAATTGTTGAAATGTCATTGAAATAGTCATAGGAAGTTGTTAAGACCATGCATCCAATTTTGACAAATTGGTTGCTCAATACTTTGTCAATTTATCCCTTAACGTTATATATTGTTGCTGATGTTATGTTGGGGCTTTTAGTTGACCGGGATTCTACTCTGTTGGCTCTGCCTTCAGACAGGGGAGGGTCTCCCTAAGAAGCCGCTGAACTTGACCGGACAATGAGATGCTGGACTCTGTGCTTGGTGCATGCTTGCAATGAAGGGATCTCAACTAAACCTGAACTGTGGTTGCGCAATGGGGGGGGGGATGGGGCAGTGAGGAGCCCACCATGGGGGTAGGGTTGGGAGAGAGGTGGGGAGAATCCCAGTGCCTATATTGAACTGTGTCACATAATACAATCAATATTTTAAAAAAAGAATTATCTCAAAAAAATAAAGAATTAAAATCATGTAATTATATTAGAAGAGGTAGAAGTTTCGTTTGATAAAATACAGCAAATTGGATACTGATAGAACTTCCTCAACACAATCAAGACAATATTTAACAAACACACAGCCAGTATCAAATTGAATGGGGAAGATGTTGGAAGCATTTCTGCTATGATTTGGAATTAAGCAAAAAGTATCACTTTAACCATTGCTATTCATTATAGTTGTGGAATTTTTAGCCATAGCTTTTAGGCAAGGAAAAGAAATCAAAAGGTTACAAATTCAAAAGGAAGAAATCAAATTGTCTCTGTTTGCAGATGAAAATGTTCCCACATTTGGGGGAGCCAAAAGACTCCACTAATAGACTACTGACATTCGTAAGAGAGCTATAGGATACAAAATCAACATAAAAATGAATAGTCTTTGTATAAATGAACAATGACATGGCTGAAAAAGCACTTTTAAAGCAGTCCCACTCACAATAGCCACAAAAATTTTTAAACTTTGGAATAATTTTATCTAAAAAATTTGAAAATTTTGTATAATAAAAATTACAAAATATTAAAGAAAGAAACTGAAGTAGACCCACCAAAAATGGAAAAAAAAATTTGTCATGTCCTTCGATTGGAATAATTAATATAATCAAATCATCCACACTACCCAAAACAATTTACACATCAATGTGATCCTTTCAAAATAAATTCATATGAAAACACATGAGACTTCAAATAGCTAAAAGAATCTTCTAAATCAAAAACAAAGCAGAGGCACCACAATGTCAAACTTCAGGATATATTACTTGGCAATAATAGTCAACAGAGCCTGTTATGGGATAAAAAGGTGTTTAGACCAATGGAATGGAATAGAAACTCCAGAAAACAATCCATCCATCTAATCCTTGACCAATGAGCTAAAATCAGTCTCGAGAAAGCAAAAATCTGATTAACATAGTGCTAGAATAATTGGATCTCCATATGCAGAAATATGAAGCAAGATCTATATATTACTCCTTATACAAAAAGAAACTCAAAATGGGTCAGTGACCTAAATCTGTGACATGATGCCATCTAATTACTGGAAGAAAATATCAGGGAAATGCAGCAAGACATTAACTTACGCAAAGACTTCTTGGAAAAGACTTGAGAAGCACAGTCAATAAAGACATTAAATAACATTTCATCGAGCTAAGAAGCTTCTGTACTGCAAACACTTGACAAAATGAAGAGGAAACCATAGGCTTGGGAGAAAATATATGCAAACTAAGCAACTGATAGAAGATTATAATGCAGAATATATTAAGAGTTCAAAAAACTCAGTGACAAATAATCTAGTTAAGACACTGTCAAAAGACATGAACAGGCATCTCTCAAAGGACAAACTTAAATGTCCAGTAGACATGAAAATTCCTCAGGTTCACCAACTATCAGATCATTGCAAATAAAAACTACTAAGATATTTCATTTCATGCCAGTCATAACAGTGATCCAAAATTTCTTCAAACAGTAAATGCTGCCAAGGATGTCAGGGAAAATGCACCCTGATAACTCACGATGGGGATGTAAAGTAACACAGCTGCCATGAAGAACAGCATGGGGATTTCTCAGAAATTTAAAAATAGATCAACCACAACGCCCAGATATCTCATTATTTGGAATTTACCCCAATGAAATAAGATATGATTGAGTTTTTTGTGTTCTCATGTGTCTTGCAGCTCAGTTCATTATAGTTAAGCTATGGCACCAACCCAGATATCCATCAACTGACAACTGAATAAAGACATGTATATATATATACATTATGGAATCCTACTCAGGAGTAAAAGAATAACAAAATCCTGTCTTTCCCAACCAAATGGATACAACTGAAAACCATTATTGTTAGTGAAATAAGTTAGTCTCAAAATCATAAATGGCATAAAGTTTTTCTGATATGCCAGTTAACATAAAATAAAAAATGCATAGGAAAGTAACAGACATCATGTGTTATGGTTGTCATTTTTTGCTCTGATTTATACTGTGAAACTGTGGCCTTCCTATTTTCTACTTGTGACTATCATGGTTCATGATGAACGGTATGAATACAAAGTGGATTAAAATTATGTTTTTGAAAAAGCTGATGAAGACAGGGGATGGAGGAAGAGAGTTTTAGGGGAGAGCAGGATGAGGGAGATGTAGTTGTTTTTTGGAACTGCACCTCTGGAATAAATAAAATCTGTTTATGTGAATTAAAGAGAAAAAAGAAAAGTAAAAGAAACGAAAGGGGTTTCCTATGCTCCAAGCCAGGTTGTTCCTCAGTCTGGGAGGAGCATTTTGTGAGATTCTGCCTAGCCTCAGACATGGTGGGACATGGACACATCCTGGTCCAGCCTTCCAAACTATTGTTTCTGCTGAGCAACTCAACTGCTCACTCTGTGTCTTGAGGAGGAGAAACTTAGGCACATAAGGACCATGAGGCTCCTTATCTGGCTTTATACATTTCCCCCAGGTAAATGGATCATTTAATGTGCTGTATATTTTTCTTTAAAAAAAAAAGGACTTTGAAAGTTTTTACCATAAGGAAACAAATGCCTCAATTGAAAGATATTTATCCTAATTTTAACATTATACAATACATGCATGCATCAATACATCATATACCATCTCACAGATACTTACAAGTGTTAGGTATCAGTTAAAAATAAAGTTAACAGTAAAAATTACATAGCAATGATAATATAAATTATTATTGGGATTACATCCAGTCTACCTTTAAACAAAACCAAGTTTCAGTGTATCATAAGCCGGAGGCCCATACAAGCTTGCATAAATTACAATCTAAAATCTTCATCATAGTCTGAACTCTTTGTCCAAGGCATTTGTTATTTTGTTTCCTTAAAACATATTTGCCAAAGAATATTGACTGAGGTTTGATACGAAGCTGGAAGAAGCAGATCGCTGGTTTTTCAATGAGCATTGGTTTCATCAAGTATTTGCATATAGAAGTCAATGCAGACTTATCAGATTTGAAGGTAGCATAAATATCAGTAGAATTGCTAATCTAATTAATAACTAATATCAAGATCACAGACAGACGAAACAACAGCAGACCGAGCTACTTAGTGAGGGTAGATACATGTTTATATGGAAGGAATGACTCTGGTTTCTTAATAATCTAATTTTACCTTGAAACTTCATATTTTCCTGCTGTTGTTATGGATGCTGTGTTTAGGTTCTTATGGTCAGAATAATTTTGCTTCAGGAATGAAATATGCAATTTAATACAAAAATTCTGCTTTGAATTCTTCACCTCTAACATAAACTTTTAGGATATACTGCTGTGTTTCAGAAATTAATGGAATTATAATAATGTGGTTAAAAGACTCCTTGGGTTAAAATCTTGACCTCATTACTCATCAGTACATGATCTTAAAAAATATACTTTAAAATTTCCGGTGTCTTAACTTTAAAATAGGGTTAATAATGGGATGAGAATTACAATACTTAAAATAGTACCTGGAAGATGACAATAGCTATTGATATTGTGAGGATGAAATTCAAAGACCATAAGTTTTCAAAGCCTGTAATAATCTTTATTGGTATTTAGTCTCAATTTCACTGAAATTTCTTCATATGTAACATTAATGTAATATAAAAATGATTTCTTAAGGATGTTATGTAACAAAATGAATAAGGACACCTAAGCAAAAGTACAATGTGAATGATTGTTCCAGCTAAACATCTGTTGATGTGTTATTCACAGAAGGGTTCAGAATCATTTAGCCAACTTTCAGAAACCCAACTTTTCCCTTC